AGTATGTTTGGCATGCGATCCGTCTCTGTCAAATGTAAGGCGATGCCGCAGAACCGGTCTGTGACACAGACTCCTACTTGAAAGATGGTAAGTGAAATGGCTAAAGTTGTTCACCACTTCACTCACTCAGGAATTCACATTAATAACAGCGGACTGATCGCTAACAAAATCTCAGCATAGATTCAGAAGGCCAAATTAGGCACTTTCTGAATTACATCATCTCTGATGTGAATGTTGTAATATCCGGCTATCCATCTCAGAACCTGTGTACCGCATACCATTTCACTTTGTCCTTCTTCATGCTTGTGACACTTGGCTGAAAAACAAACAAACGAGAGACCAGCTGTATTTAACCATAGAAGTTTGCGTTTTATCTCCTGTTTTAATTGGCATAACATACTGGGTAATACTGGAGTTTAGGACTGAGCTCATTAGAGAGCAAAATACTAGTTCGGTGGTCAGATCAACTCTATGTGGCTGGCTATAAAGCGAGCGCTACTGGTGAATATGAGTGGTAGACAGCTACCCTTCTCGATCAGTAAGTAGTATAGTATAGTTTTGTGCAAATAAATATGCTTGCCTTCTTGATTACCATTTGTGCTATCAAGCAGCTCAAATACAATGTGTGTGTGTGATCTGAGTAGCTTTGACTTGCAAAGGAAACCTCTTCGGACTCTGTAAAAAGTGAAAATTGTGAATTAGAATTCATGGATAATCCCCATCCAGGCATTAATGAAAACAAAACACGTAGATCAGCCGAGAGTCTCTTTTCGGCGGCGAATTCATTTTCTTAGCTGTACAATCGCAAATATATATGAGTTATTTTGTATGTTATAGTTATTTTAACTAAACAGGTGATAAATGGAATTGGAAACAGGTTATAGTTTTATTGCTGGATGTCAATGGGATCTCCGTTGGGTCCGCTACTATCAGATTGCTTCGTCGCAAGCCTCGAGAAAGGTTCACTAAAGACTAGCATTGACGATTTACGATTGTATAAAAGATACGTAGACGACATTTTCATTATTTGCGACAACAATAATGACCCCAATCTACTGTTGAAGACATTTAACTGTTGCCATCCAGCAATAAAATTCACTCTTGAAATGGAAAAGGAGTCAAAAATTCCGTTTTTTTTTGATGTGGAACTAACAAGAAGAACTGATGGGAGCCTAAGAAGATCAATCCATAGAAAACCTACGTGGAATGGTCAACTAACAAGCTTCTATAGCTGGGTGCCCATTCAACAAAAGCGAAATTTAATTAAATCACTTGCTACCCGCATCCGACGCATCTGTAGTCCCGACGTTCTGGAAACAGAATTAGATATTCTGAGAGAAATATTTATCCAAAATGGATACCCAATAAGATTTATCGACAAAAATATCAAACCAAGAATTCCGAGTAACGAAACTTTAATTGCGCCTAAAAAGAAACTCTACATGAACTTGGATTTCAAGGGAGATTTAGCAAGCGATATTCTCAAGAGAAGGATCACATCATCTCTGAGAAGAACATTCTTTGCAGCAACGCTACGAATAGTGTTCTCCAGTCGCCCACTGATCTGCAGAAGCCTCAAGGACAAGATCCCGTATCTGACCACTTCTATGTGCATTTATCAGTTCACCTGCTGCTGTGGAGCCAGGTACATTAGTCGTTCGACGCTCATCCTGTCCGAGAGGATGCAAGAGCACTATCCAGCATGATCGCAGTGCAATAAGGAGTGCGATAATTGAATACTGATCGTTCCATTTCAACAAACGTCTCCTTCGAAGTGATCTACAGAGTCAAGAATAACCTATCAAAGGCAATATGGTTTCGTCTTCTTTGTATCGCTGAAGCCCTGGCCATTCACATAGAAAAACCGGAGCTATGCATACAAAAGAGGATTACTGAACCACTTCTACTGTCATGGTAACAACTTATTTGACTTGATTTTTTTATTTTGATGACTTAATTTTGTTTCTTTGCCCGTTCTTTAATTGCTTATGATTCTTGTATTCATTTAGAACTCTTTAGTAATTTCGTATTATCTACTTTGTTCCTATGTGCATCCCGAGTAAAACACACTCATCAAACTATTGATATTATTATTACATAACTTCTTTTAGTAACTGTTTGTGACAACTCATCACCTTCGTTACTACCCTAATTTCACTAACACCTAATTTTCTTGACTGATTTTGTATTACCAATCTTGACCTGTTTAATTAAAATAACCATAACCAATTGTAATTTTGTTTGACAAACTTAATGCATACAAAATAACACATATTACGATTGTACAGCTAAGAAAATGAATTCGCCGCCGAAATGAGACTCTCGGCTGATCTGAGTGTTTTGTTTTGAATTAGAATTGTTTTCAAAAATTAGTTCATAGGGATTGTTTTTGTTTAAGGTAAAACCACGGATTTTATTTTATTTTTTTTATTTTTGATTACAGCTTGATTCCACACTGTATTTTTGGTACAAGTATGGAATTTTCAGCGTGGATATCGGTAGCCCAAATTTTGCAGGCCGACCATAGATATCAGGTGTGCGTCGGCGAGGGCTCGAACCTCGGACCATGTGCATGGTCGGTGAGAGTCCTAACCACTGTGCCACCGACGCACAGTGTTAGAGAACCAATGAAAACCAGCCACAGGGAGTACTGGACAGCTGCTGTTTCATCTTAGTGGTTGGGAATCATTGGTAGTACACGCACACACCCACCAACGAGGTTTGAACCTAGGACCTTCTGGTTACAAGGCAAGCTAGCTCGTAAACTATTCAGTCAATGGGACCCGATTCATGACCAACCCATGAATTCTTACTTCTACCAATTAGTGATTTTAGGGTGACCACCAAGCAATGTCATTGGTGATGGTGGGAACTTCATCCTTACTCCCGACTGGATGGACCCCACTCACTGGTCACGACTTCTCAATAGAACTCCAGGGTAACTTCATCCTGTAGCCATTCACTAACCAGCGTCAGATTAGTTTTCAAGAACTAGTTTGTAGAGATTGTATAACAGTATAGTCTGATGACGCGACAGACAGCGGTGGGCAATGAGGAAACAGGCATAAAATGGACTCACACAAAAAACTTGGAGGATCTGGACTTCGCCGATACGATATATATCCGATTTCCCACAAACTGGAAGATATGCAAGTGAAAAGAAACAAGTTCGCAGAACAAGCATCAAACATAGGACTTCACTTCAGGTGAACATAGACAAAACAGATGTGGTGATGAAGATTCATGGGCAACAACAACACCAACAGACAACAATCAGCCAGCATAAATGGGAGGAACCTGAAAGAAGCAACCTCCTTTACCTACCCACATACCTGGGAAGCATCGTTCCAACTACAGGCGGACGAAACTGACGAAAATATCAAAGCAGTGAGGATCGGGAAAGCAAGACAAGTTTTCATTGCTCTCAAGTCTGTGTGGAGGTCAACAGCACTCCTCAGCATCGAAGAAAAGATCCGAATTTTCAACTCCAATGTGAAGTCAGTCAGTGCTGCTCACTGTACGGATAAGAGACTTGGCCAGCAGGTCATAGAGAACAACTCAAACAAACTACAGACCTCCGTCAACAGCTGTCTTCGCTCAATACTACTCAGGATCAGATGGCCAACCAGAAAGGATCAGAAACAGGGATCTCTGGCAACGTGCGAACTAACCCAACAGGAACCGATTGTGTGACAAATAGGCAGGAAGAAATGGAGATGGATTGGTTGGCTATACTCTGAGGAAACAAACCATCAAGTGACATCACTAGACAAGCCATTGTTCGAGTGGAACCCGAAAGTGAAGCAGCGAATTGGTTGTCAGTTCGAGGGTGACTTGGATGAGGTCATGTGAAGAGGAGATGAAAACATGTGGGCAGACTTGGAGCGGAGTGAAAACGTTGGCAGAGAACCGAACGCAATGGAGACGTTTGGTTGAAGCCCTATGTTCCTCTAGGAATTAAAGGAAATAATAATATTAGTCTGATGAGGAAATTACTGAACTGTTATTGCTCCCCTATACCTCTCTGTTCTAATGAATTAAAATTAAAGTAAATCAATAACCAATAATCACATGATATTTACTGCAATTTTAACCAAATAGTAATTATAATTATTATTATCTCTGATTATTTCATAAGGATGGTTTGCAAAAGGCACAACGTTGATAGTAAGTATTTTAAAATAGCGCAAAATGTCTAAAAAATACAAATTTGATTAGATCATCATCATACGGCAATACAGTTTTGTGTACAGACCAGATTACACACTACTACTAGTGGACATTGTTTAGAGAATTTCAGGTAGTGAACCACCATTCTGATTAATCATCAGAACATACACTTATGACTCCATCAGGAATGACAAACCAGATAATACTTGTGTTACCAGTAAACCAATATGACAGAATCCAACAGTCAATGTAAGTTTCTACCTTATACATTATTACACGGATACAAGTAGTAAATAAAGTAATTTAAAAGAATTTGTGAGACAGAAAAAATCAAAAATATTCATGTAGACAAATTTGGTGCCAATCGAATCCAATCACTTAACATCATCAATGTGAGTAGGTAGATTTTTATCAAAATTACTGAATTCAGATATTGTATTAAATATGTCCCAAATTGGTTTTAATGTAAAACATTGTGAATGCATGTGTTGTAAGGGGGTTGTCTGTGAATATATAAATAATAATAATAAAGATTTAATAATTATGTTGACTAAGGGAAAACCATTCACATTTTTCTATTTACAAAGTCACTGAACAATGCAAACTGATAAATTATCAATAAAAGTGATTTAGACAAAATGGAGGAAAATACAATTCAAAATAGGCGGGAAAACAAACCATCATATGACTCAAACAAACAAAAAATATTGATGGTGATGATGATAATAATAATGGATAATCTTTTGAAAAAAGGGAGAAAAATAGAAACAAAACCAATAAAAGAAGAAGTGTTGTGATTGTTATTATTATTATTAGTATAATTATTATTACTATTCTAAATCTGGTGCACCATAGCCAAGTCTAGCCAGAGTGATATTTAATCTGTGTCGTTGTATTGTACGAAATTGTTGCTCTCTCATTTCACTTTTCTTTGAAATTGCCTCACTTATCTCATTTGTTTTGTTCAATGTTGAAGTTGAATCATTGCTATCATTGACGCTATCACTGGTATTAGAGACAGATTTTCTATTCTTGCCAAGATATGGACTACTTGCTAGACCACGTTTAATAATACTTAAATATTGAAATAAATTTACAACTGATACGATTCTGTCTCTTGCTTGTGAAGATATTTTACAGTCCAATTCATCGGAATCAGATGTCTGTATAGAAAGAGAAATAAAAGTAAAATGAAAATGGATAACTATTAGGATGGTAGGAATATTAAAAAATTTTTTTTATTATTTTGATTACAGCTTGAAACCACACAGTATGTTCGGTACAAGTATGGAATTTTCAGCCTGAGCGGAAAAATCTGCTTTTATCCCCTATTTATTTTGTATATCAATAAGTTGTCTCTGCTCATCGACTCCCCTATGATCCTGTACGCAGATGACTTAAAAATTTGGAGGGAGCTGAAGGGCAACAGTGATACGTTCACGTTGCAAGAGGGCCTCAATAAATTGTCAGAGTGGTCCATAGAATGGATGCTCCCAATAAATGTGGCAAAATGTGCAACCATGTGCATTGGACAAGCAAGCACGAGCTCCTACGAACTAGAGCGAATAACACTTCCATCAGTTCAGACTCACTTGGACTTAGGTGTCATGGTTCGCAACGACTTAAAAACTACAGCACACTGTCGTGCGGTGGCTGCACGTAGTTTGAGGTCCTTATGGGCAATTCGCAGAGCCTTTACTAGAATCACCAGAGATACGTTCACCTCCTTATATACATCTCTGGTGAGGTCAAGACTGGAAAAATGCATCCAGGCCGCCAGTCCTTGTCTAAAACGGGACTCACACATTCTGGAAAGGGTTCAAAGGAAGGCAACACGTATGGTTCACTGCATAGCTAATTTATCATACGGGGAAAGACTAGATAGTTTAAATCTCTTCTCCCTGTCATACCGTAGGCAGAGAGAAGATTTAATCACAATGTTTAAAGTTTTAAATAATGACTACGGACCTGACCTATTCTCTCTTTTCCTTCCCACCAGGTCGGAACACCTGAGAGGACATAGAAGGAGAGTTCAAAAGCCAAGGAGAAATCATATTACTGTTGAGTACTGGTTCTCACATCGAGTCATAAACTATTGGAACCGACTCCCAGAAGAAGTGGTGTCTGCAACCTCAACTGATTCGTTCAAGAAGGGTTTGGACAACCACAGAAATCTTCTAGAAAAGGATTAACATAGGCTCCAAGCCTTCTATCCTTAACCAATAAATCTGAATCTGATGTGATATCGGTAGCCCAAATTTTGCAGGCCGACCATTTATATCAGGTGTGTGTCGTCAGGGGATCGAACCCCGGACCATGTGTATGGCTGGAGAGAGCTCTAACCACTGTGCCACCAACACACACACACAAAGCCGCAGCCCGATGAGGGTAGCGAACACCCGACTCTCAGATTAAAGGTCTGATACTCTAACGACTGAGCTTACTGGGACATGATAGTAGGTTCGCTAGCTTGGCAGCGGTTACATTTCATTAGGGCATCACTCAGGACTACACAAATTATAGGATCTATGGGCACTTAGGATTAACCGCAATCGTTAGCAGAACTGGGCAGCCCTCTCGTCTTGTTTTCTTTCTATAACTCTTCAGCACTGCACACCTACAACCTTGCAAGGAATCGAATCGGAGACCTTCATGTTGTCGGACCAAGCTCGTTGACCATCCGGCCTTGTTGTGCTAGATATCAACCGTCAGTTCACTAGTGGCTAATGGATGCATTTCCTGAAGCTGTAGTGGCAAGTTGTGACAGGTATGGTTCACCATGTCAAAGTCAAGTGGATGCTGTGGTGGGCAGAGAGGTTTTCTGGAGACAGCCGCGTATGTTTATGCTTACTGAAGGTTGCTTGCAATCTGATGAGAAATACTGCTGTAACAACAGAAGACAAGTGCCAGGCAATAGATCATTCATTAAAGAAATCAACAAATATTTACATATTTTCATGCACACATTATAGATTATTGTTAGCAGAAAAACACAGTCTTCTGATTGGTTTTTTCTCACAGAAAGTTAACCTTTCATCTTTTTGTGGCTGTTTCTTGAATGTCAGATCATCTATATGTTAAATGTATCCACCTACGCAAAGCGTTTGTTCCCATTTTTCTCACGACCAATATTGGGGAGATAAACATCGACGTAAAATACTGTCCACCAATTCTGACTAACAGCCAGCTCTCACCACGCTACAACTACTAAAGAATATTTATTTTTGTGAAGTAGCACGTCAGCCGCAAGGTTCCACAGTAATTCTTCTTCTTCATTAACTTTGTGTTCGAAAAATTAGCTTTGGTTTAAAGGAAGTTTTCAAATCTTTAAATATTCCCCAGCCATGACACTTCTATGTGTATCTACATATTTAGTTGCTCCTGTGTAGAGAACAACTTGACAGCTCGACAAACGTATTAATGAGCATCTTACTTCATGGTTCGAAAAAGGCCAAATAAAATCTCTAAGAAGTCCTGTTTGACAAATTTGATTGATGATAGAGGTCACCAAGTGGACAGAATAAGTGCCTTCAAAGTTATGTATCACATTACATTGAACCTTTCGAACGGAATTCGAACTCGCCTTTTACACATAGCCGAAGAAGCTATAGGAATTAATTCGAGAGAACAATCTTAGTGTCTTTGCATACAAAAGAAGTTTGTTCTATCTTTGTCTCTCCCTCCACCTGCTTAAAGTCTAATCAAAAAGCACCTCCCATCTCATTTCTTATTTTCCATTTCTTTCCTTCTTCCTACATTTATGATATTTATTGAATTTCTGATTGTCTGTCCACTCCACCTCTACTATTACGTAACATTTAAGAGTTGGCCTAAATTATTTATTGAATTGTCTACATATACACACACACATATTACTACCTTCGTTATTCTCCTTATCGCCATGTATGTGCATAAATCTTATTATCATTAATTTGTTATCATTATAGTCATCATTATTACTGACGTTGAAAACATTTAACACAGCACTATTATTATTGTTACTTGATCTACAAACTAACTCATCGTCATTGGTTCAGTGTTGTTTTAGATATAAATGTCTATGTAAATTAGAGTAAAGTCTGAAGAAGATCTAATTGTAAACAACAACAATATTGTTCGCTTGTATGTCTTGTTCTAAAGGTAGCTTCCCAGTGAATACCGCCAAATAGCTATTTATTCTACTATATGTAAGCAGTCCTTAAAAACAGAATGAATTTGCCAGCATACATGAAATAGGGCTGATGTGTAAAAACTGAAATGTGGTTCGAAAATCAGAGAACCCCTTTCATAGTCTTACTGTGGGTTATGAAGCTCAAATGACAGTCGTTCCCAAAACAAATGAAACAAAAATATATCGCTTGAAGAATTCATAAAAAAAAGTAGATTGACAGGGGAGCGGAGACTTTTCATATTTACTGATTGTCAGATGAATGTATGTATGTGGATCTGTGTAGATTAGTATTTCCATTGTGACTTTAGTCATCTTAAAAGATTTAATACTCTTAGAACATTGTCCGTTAGTCTATTGTTTGTTAAATGGAACAGAATTCTCTGACTAATATTGGCTCATAATGAAATCCAGTAACCAATCAAATCTCTAAAAACCAACACTTGGAAATGGATATCTATATCGACGACGAGTTTTGTTCATTCAGAGAATCATTGAAAATCAGGGAGTACTGGATATCTCTTACGTCCCTAGTTTGGAATGATGTTCAGAGTTACTCACCCATGATGCCTTCAATGAACGAATCCATGAACTGTAGGTTATAAGGCAAACTCATATACCATTCAGTGACTAGGAGGGAAACCAATAGCCAGCCCATCAATTCTAGCTTCTCCTAATTCGCGATATGGTGCAACATTCAGTCACTCTCATTAGTGAGTATCTGCTCTGATGACCCAATTGATCTGCACATCACTCCCCTAGAACTTCAGATAGCTACACATCCTCTAGTAAGTCACCAACACCAACATCACCTGAGAATGGATATCATTTCGTTACATCACCAAACACAACCTGCTCTTACTAGACGTTGTTTGACATAATCGAATTGATGGGTTCCTTTTAGCATACAGCCAACTTATACAGTTGCTTTAAATATAACACTTCTTTGAAAGCAGTACACAATCAAGCAATGCAGAGGCGTCTTTACAACGACAGCAGACGCCATTGATCGTTAACCAATTCACACTCGTAAGTTAATTAACAGAAAGGACCAAAATATTCAATAAGCAGGTATTATATTGCAACTACGGAATATACATCACTTCATTGGCAAGGTAGACATGCCAGAGGAGTAGTGAATGCCAGCAATAAGCTACATTGGACTAAAAAGACGCATATATATATATATATATATATATATATATATATCCACTACAGTCCTACAGGATACCAATCGTGTGCCTGAATAGCTCAGTGGTAACGTCTCTGATTTCAGCACCTGGTGACGCGCATTCCAATCTCAGGAGGCACATGAGTTCCTTCAAGGTTGCAGATACGCCTTGCTGACTGGTGAGTGCCAACTAGCATGAAACCTAAGTCCAAGGCTCCCTGTGGCTGATTACCTCCAACCATCTAATATCACTCATAAAAAAGGAAAAAGAGCATTTCTGAGTTTTGATGGGAAGAGAGAGAGAGATGAGACATCAGTGGCACGAAACCTAGGTCCAAGGCTTCCTGCTGATTGCCGACTAATGATAGAATGTAAAATCAGGAGATGCTATTCTCTTGAATTTATTAGGTGTTTAAGATACATTGGACATTGATAAGACACATATAACAACTTTCTGTCGTTAGCTTAATAATACACAATTCTCAGATGTATTCTTTTTATTCCTGTACGTTCCCATTGGAACATAGGGTGGCTTCAAGTTAGAAGCTGGAAGTTTCTTTCGCAGTGGTGTTTACTTCTCCGTGATGGATGGGGTTGCTAGCCAGCTTCATGCCCAACCTTCCCTCTTTATCACCTTTTTATTACTGGCTTAGCGAGGTTAAGGAGTGAGTTGGCGGCCGGGTATCGAATCCCGAATCACCTGCGTGGTCGACGAGCACTCTATTGCTGTGCCACTGACGCACAGATGTATATTGTCGAATAATTAGTTGAGCACAAGAAAATGAAGTAAATGGGGAAGATAACCTTGAAAATCTTTCATTAAA